CCCTACTGCTGGCTACAGTATGACAGTCTAGGTATTAAAAAGCTGATAAGTCAGCCTCTCTCTCTCTCCCTGCCTCACCTGGTAGCCAACCGTCTTCCCCACCATCTCTCGTCTCTCAGCTGCCACTCTCTCTGCTATGGAGATGGCGGAAATCCTCCGCGGCTGTGTCACCACTATGTTACACGTCGCACCCACCATGTGCTCTGAAAGGGTTAAAATTGGAAAATGCAAGGGGTTAATCAGCAATTTACAAAACAGAGCTTTATATCAAGTTTAAGTTTTTCAACTATAAAACTTGAACGTAACAAAAACGGAAGAATTGAGTGTTTTTTCTGAAGCCCCGCCCACTGACCCACACCCACCAATATAGTTCTCGAGGATAAACTGCGGGACTTGAGTTGTTTTCCCCGAGCCAGTCATCCCCATGACAACCACCACCGGCTTCGTGTTGATTTCCCTCAGTAGAGCATTCCTGGAGATTACGAGGAGTTACGTAACTAGTGGTCACGAAACATGATGTAAACTAGAATGTATTAGTGGCGAGCGCACACGAGTACAATAATTCAGTTTACATGTATCTATATATAACCACGAAATAGCATTACATCACCGCCACATGTATATATATAGTACATAGAAGAATCACAAAAATTCCTTACATCGTACCTACAGTATACAGAATCAAAGTTTTTATACTTGTTTTGACGTCCCATCAATAATGCACACTTCCCTTCCTCCCTCCCTCCCTCCCTCCCTCTCTCTCGTACTTTGCTCTGTTGATGGGTAGCCTCTTGGCAGCTGCTCGAAGACTCTTTCCTTCACTGCCCCACCTCTCTACCGCCTCCTGCTCCTTCCGCATCCCCCGGCTACGAAGCTCCGCCTCCTCGTTAGAGAGGTCAGAGTACGGCTGGCCAGAGAACACACACACTGTGTTCTGTTCCTATATTACACAGTCAGACATAACATTGAGTAACAGGGTGGATGGGGGGGGTTCATTCTCCAGCTACAAGTAGAGGAATTTAGAATGGCTTTGTCTGTCCCTTCCCACATGCTCACTATAAGTTTAGGCCACCCTTTTCTCTCACTGCTCCAGCTATAGTTGGGTGGTCTGTCCTTCCCACATGCTCACTATAAGTTTAGGCCACCCTTTTCTCTCACTGCTCCAGCTATAGTTGGTTGGTCTGTCCTTCCCACCAAGACCAATACATTTGGATGGGAGAAGATCATACTTCCAAAATATTTGCCTCCTAAGAAAATTTCCCCAGCTCACCTTCATTGTCTCACAATCTCGGCCAGAATGGGGGCATTCCCGGTGACGTCATCCGATGACGCCCCACTACGTGGCTCCACATTCCTCTCCTCCGGCACGGGCAGCGGCAAAAACTGGTTCAGCTGGTTTTCCAGCTTTCTCACGTAGCTCATGCTGATCTGTATGTTACCGTGACACTTTGGGCAGGGGACGAGTGCAAGGGGCGTCTCCACGGAAACCGGAAACAACTTTTGCCACAACGCCGGTAGAACCACCGTCGTTGCCTGGGAAACGGTTGCGGTGGAGCCAGAGGTCTCTTGGACGCGGAACGAGTCCACAGGGACAGATAATTTCAAGTTGTATATAGCGTTCCCCGATTCTGTTGGAACGCCTTGAACATGTCTCTTCTGGTCGTCATAGAAACTCTTGAGGCTGGACCAGTTTGGGAAGGAGTGGCATTCGGGGAGTTTCGCAATAGCTTCGAATAGTTGTATCTGACTCGCCATGGAAACATCTAGCTCCTTTGGTTTCTGATCCTCTGTGATGTCTTGGCGTTGAGTTTCGACCTTCTTCCCCCTCTGGTTCATGAAACCAAGGTCCTGAACAATAGTTGGGAATGTATATACATACATATGTAGGAGAAACTACGTAATTTTAACAGTTTGTGATAGTCTAACTGCAGGTAGTAAAACTGAGGCTTTAAGAGAGAGAGAGAGATGTTTTTAACTAGTAAGATTTATCTAGCTAAAGATGGACAGTAAGGATCGAAGCAAACAGACAATAATGAGAGAGAGAGAGAAAGAGGAGGAGAGATTCACCATCAGTTTGACGCAGGCGGCAGCTGCACACCTTCTCTCCGCGTCCTTCTTGTTCCCTCCCTCCCCCACCACCGTCACCCTCTCGGGGTACGGGAGCTCAAGAGTGCAGCGATACCCCGGAGTTGGGACTCCGTACTGGGTCAGGACCACACGCTCCATGACATAGTCCAGTTTAGTGTTGAGACGACGCAGCTCGGCGATGAGGGCATTATTTAGAGTAGTCTTCGCCTGCAGATAGACAAACAGGTTCACCATAATATTGCACTTGGAGACTTATTATAATGCGTCAGGTTCTGCTTTATCGCTAGTTTGCATTAATATTAGACGCACACGTTTATAGCATTCAGTTGCTATTTGTTACTGAATTTCTTTAGTGCAAAGCCCACTAGGGCATGCGTCAATCAATTTTCCTTCTCTCATCAATCTTACGTCAGGAAACATCTTTTCAGCATTCTTTCCAGCAAACTCATATTCTCCTCCTCCTCCTCCTCCCCCTCTCTCCTCGGCTCTCCGGCCGCCATAAGACCCTCCTCTACTGCTGTTAGAAGACCAACTATATCCAGCTGTCGAAGAGTCGTACCCTGAGCTGTGGGCGGCGTCCCGCGGTCTTTTGGCGGGCGGCGGCGCTGCGAGGCCGGCTCCTCTTGGTGTTATGTTTGCGCTATTAGTACGAATCCCTCGTCGAGGACCACTGCCTGATCCGTTGTAGCTCATCCCCTAGTAGATATACGGTCCGCCGCGCATACACGTGAGTTCAAAGTGCAAATACTGCGCATGCGTGCAACCGAGCTTCAGTGGTGACGTCACGAGAAATGGCAGGAGCAGCAGCAGTAAAGGGTGAAGTGTTGAAATCTGTGCATTTCGAGGTCTTTGGCAAAGTGCAAGGAGTCTTCTATAGAAAAGTTAGTAATATTGATTTTTGGTCGTCTACAAAATATCTCTCCCTTCCAGTTCACTAGAGATATGGCAGTGAAGCACGGACTGGTAGGATGGGTAAAGAACACCGATAAATCTAGAGGTACTGTAGTGGGCGTGGTTCAGGGGGCGGAGTCTCAAGTGGAGCTAATGTAAGATTCAACGGAACTGTGTACTTTGTAATAGTAACATGCACGGCAGCAACATGTTCTGCAGCACGCTCAAAAGGTGCCGGCCCACTTGCAAGTTCATTCCCCCACCCCACTCCTCCGCCCCCATGCAGGAAGACGTGGCTACGAGAAACAGGCAGTCCAAGGTCACATATCGATAGATGTGAGTTCTCCAAAGAAGGCCCCGTCACTAGAACACAATACCACAGTTTCACCATCAAAAGATAGAAGAATCATTTTTCACAACACACACATTATTTTTGAAACGATGATTTTGTACAACAATGAGACAGGGGTATATATGATGGTTGTTGGTGTTTATTTTATAGCAGCTGTTAGTATCCCTGACACACCTGCAGCCATCGAGAAAGGAGAGGAGAGAGAGGAAAAAGGCAACACACACAAACACAGGCTCAACAGGAAAAAGGGAATTTACTTTCAACGTCAATTTTCGCCAGAATCTTCTTCGGTTTTATCAGCTCCTCCTGCTTTCTTATATGGACTGTTTCCCCGGAAACCGTCCAGCCACTCCCACTAGCCAACTCCATTAGCACAGCGTCTGTAAAAATAAACACGAAATATATTGACAGGAATAAAACTTTAAGCAGCTAAATCTTTAACTAACCGTCTATTCCACCAAGGTATTCTCTGACTAGTTCAGTTGATACGGTCTGGTAGCTTACTTCTAGGACACTGCATATGTCTGCGGAACAACAGAGAGAAAAAACAGGGGAAAAATAAGAATAGAGGAAATTACGGAGAGAGACAAAATGGAGAAAAAGTCAAAAAAGAGGAGGAAAGAAGAAGAAATCAGGAAGGGGTAGTTTTGACGACAGCAAAGCTCAACTAACACTTCCTGATCTGCTCCTGGAAGTTGGAGATGTGGGAGGTCACCTCTCCCACCCCTCCATCCTCCCCCCCTCCCCACACCTCACGGAACTGCACGACTCCAGGAGACCGTGGAGTCTCACCACCTGCCCCACCCCCTCGTCCTGTTGCTAGGGACAACCACCACCATGGAGTGTAAACACAAAAGACAACGTGCTAAACGAGACATAAAATGAGCTATATATAAATCAGATGACGTAAAAGCCAGGTTCAGTTTTGACAGAACAAAATCTCCGTTTTCAAAAGGTATTGCCTTTGACATAATAATGCCATAGAAGTAAAAAAAAGATGAATGTTAATGTGTCACAGAATTGTGGTTTCATTATAATAATAAAGCCAGTAAGTGGTTGAGCTGACAAGCCGTGAGTAAAGCTGCTGCCTTGGCTTTGTCTCAAAGCATTAGGTAAGTAATAAACCCACCAGATTGCAGGGTAGCACGCTCTTCAGGAGACTAAAGTCAGGTTTGGGCATGTTGACCAGTGCCTTCAGTAGGATCTGTAGCGCAACTCTCGCCACTGCTCTGTGAGGTTCAAACTGATAGCTGGAGAATAAAACATGACGACATTGTCAGTCTAACACGAGGTTCTTTGAAAAGTAAGCATATGAGAAGGTTTTGTTAGTCAAGTTGCTTTGAACAGTATTATGTATGTCACTGCCATTGAATGGTTAGTAAGTTGATAAATACAATTTTGCAGAAACAAAAAGGTTTGCCAGATTGGAGAGAGAGATTGACTCTGGCGAGAGAGAGATTGACTAACAGTTTCATGAGGGTGAGGTTTGCCTCAAAGTCATAGTGATGACTCTCAGCCTGGAACTGGGCGTACTGCTCCAGTGTCTCCATGTTGTCAGGGTTATACCTGAAAACAAACACGTGGGTTTACTCCATTTGATGCGCACTCTAACTTTTGCAATAATTATAGATACGCACGCGGCCAACATTACGCAAATGCAATATAGTCTTGGAATCGATTTTAATACCTGTTGATTCCCTCCAGCTTCGGCCGGATAACCCCCTGCCAGTCTTCCCAGCTCCGAGACATTTTCTGACACTACTATTGATGCCCACCAAAATAATCGAGACGCGAGCGCGCATGCGCCACATGTGCGCTTACGTACAATTAGATAATAATTTATTATACGTGCGCTTAACAATTTGCACACAAAGAGCAACACATACTCAACGGGGCACTATTATGGTTAGCTATGTACATATACACACATTGTCTGACGTAATCAGTCTGATTGGTTTCCATGGCTACCACTCTGCCTCTCCGTTGGCCTTGTGGAAGACGTATTCAAACCCGCCCATTCTCATGATGCCGTCCTTCAGCTGGAACTTCCACCTTGCCTTCACACGATACACCTGACACAGAAATAGACACGATCAGAGAAAAAATGAAGACAAGATTTGTGTGTTTTATATACATGTACGAAAGATTTGTGTACAGTACAATACATGTACTAACTGCTTCAATGCACACAGATTAACATAGCCGAAAAGGTTTATATATACTGCAATGGGATTCCTGGTGGTGAGTATCAAATTTTTCTGCCTCAAAACTCAATTTGTAGGGCACAATTGTTGAAATTTTCTGTCTCTCTCTCTCACCTTCTCCCACTGACAAGCGATGGTGTCCTCGGTATCAAAGTCCTTCTCCTCGTCTTCTGAGTTTGGTTCGTCATCACCTGAACCAAGAGGATCATCATCCACCTATTATAGTGAAAAATGACAGCAGAATTTGAGTGTTGAGTCCAGTGCCACTGGTTACCTGATCAACTTCTTCCTCGTCTGAGGTGTCACCATATCCCTCGCTGTCGTCATCGCTACTACTGGCCTCTCCCTCACCAACACCCTTACTCCCCTTACCTCCTTTTCCCCCTCCCCCCGGACCGTCCAGCTGAACTATGACCTCCACCGGAACCCCTCCCCTCTTCCCTCGCCTCCGCCTCCTCCGCTGTTGCCGTAGCAATTGTTTCAAAACACCGGGCGGAATTCCACTACTTGACGCTCCTTCGCAATCAGTGGGCGGGGTTTCTAGCACTCTAGCACCATCCTTACGACCACACCCACTGGAGCACACCCACTAGGACCACACCCTCTAAACGAGGCGGGTGGGGAGGGAGGTAGACCGTCAATTTGACGAACAGTAGCAGCGGAGGCCTGATCGGTAGAAGTGGGCGTGGTTTCAGAGGTGTTGGTACCAGTAGACTGTTGTTGTTGTTGTTGTTGTTGTTGTTGGTTAGCAACAGCCTGCATGGCGAGGACTGTTGTCAGAGGAACCATTATCGTTCCTTGAGACGTCTGTAGAGACAGAAATAGCAGTGATTTAGTGGACGGAAGTATATATACGCTGTAAGGTTATATATAGATCTCCAACTACTTGTGCTTTAACGATACATAAGTCTATAAAACTAACAGAAACCAAAACAGAATGCATTGCGTACGCTGCCCATTAAAGGTTTCGTAGGTTAATATCTAACATGAAACACACCTGCATTGGTAGCAGCACAGGCTGGTTCTGTAAAGCCGCAGGATTGACCTGCACACATTAAACATAATTATCATCAAAATGTCAGCACATATATCAGAGACTGCATAATTACACATACTGTACCACAAGTTGGGGCATTAGTCCTGGAGTAACCCCAGATGATACCCCAGCAACTCGGGGTAGTGGAATCCCCTGGGAGGTGGTGGGCGGAGCCTGAGACTCGGCCCCGCCCCGCATGGCAATCTGGAACTGCGAGAGCATCTGAAGCTGCTGTTGCGGTGAAGGTAGGGAGACAGGGGAAGGTTGAAGGTTGCCGTGGGCAACCATAGGTGCAGTGGGCGTGGCTTGAGGCTCTCTGGGCGGAGCTTGCTGTATAACTGACCCCGGAGTAGGCTGAGACTGGAAAGAAGTTTAAAGTAAGACTGAAAATGAAACGGCGAAATGATAAAAAAGTTCGGAAAAATAGCCAAATAAAATGATTAGGACATGTTAGTGAATTAGGAGTAAGATGTCCTAATAGTATGAGAATATGAGGGAGCGATATAGGTCACAGTTGAGAGGTGTCCTGAAAGGAAGGAGGGTATGTATACTCTATACCTGAGTCCCAGTGCTGTGATGAGGGACTGCGGAAGGAGGGAGAGGTTGGTGAATGAGTGCAGGTGGGAGACGGGGAGAGGGGTGCTCCTGGTGAGGGTGTGAGGGAGGGGGTGCGGAGTCAAACTGCGGTTTCCGTGGGCGATTGACGGCATCTGTGAGGTCCTCTTTTCTCAGCCACAGCTTAGAGGAGAGAGATGAGGTTCATCAATCAAAATTTGTGGGCAGAACACAACAGATACAGACATAAGAGAGGAAAAAGGGACAGACATTTCTAAGACGTGTCTAATTGTAAACAACGAAAGAAAAAATGGAGGCCGACCAATCAAATTCACGGACTGGGAAAAACAGACAGGGATTGTAAAAGAGGAAATAAGAGAGAGGACATTTCTATGAGTTACAAACAGATTTGGCTAACCTCTTGCAGTTGATCAAGGACTTCAGGCTCCACCCCCTCGTTAAGAAAGTCCTCTTTTACATTCCGAATCACATCTTCAACCACAAATTTGTAAACTTGCACCTGCCATAGACGCAAATACAAACCCACAGACAACTGCTACACCATGTATCAGGCAGAACTATTATTGAAAAGAAAACCAACTGTTCCACTTTAGAAGATACAAATTCAGCCATCTTCATAAATTTTCAGCAGCCAACACAATTTTTACCAACGTTTATGGAAAAATACAACGTGTATGGACTTGTATTAGGGCGAAACGTGTAGGGTTCGTTGATTTTGTTAGTAGTATCAGGCCCAGATGGAAACAAAGCAGACAGCGACAAACACTCTAATTACCTAAAAAAATACTTGACATCTCGCTTATAGCAGCATCAATCCGCAAAAACGGGCAAAATCACATTTAGACTGTTAGAAAAGTGACTGCGGCTATACCAGATTTCCCAAACTGCCGCCTTCGCTAGCCATTCACCGGCCGTCTCTCTCCCCCAGAAACGAAGTCGTCCTTTTATACTGAGCAAGGCAGAAGTGGCTGATTCTCTCTCTAAATAAGCGAATGCCGAGTCCTCTATTTAAACGAAACGAAATTTCAACCAACGGAAAATGTTTCTGAGTAATTCTAATTGATGCGCAACAACCAGTTGGAGAGAATGTCACAGCAGTCACAGAAGGGAGTACCGGGCAGAGGACCTCCCGAGGAGATGATAAAGAGACTAAAGGACCAACAGATGCGGAAAGAAACTCTGAGAAAGCTGCGAACCAGAAACGCTCTCGTGGGAGCTTCGATTATGGCGGTAATGGGAGGGATTTACCTGTACACTCTTCGAGCCACGAGACAAGAGAACTTTCTGGACAAAGATTTTGATAGACCGAGTACAAACCAACCTAGCAAGAATTAACCATTACATCATCATTTGTTCGCACAGTGTCCTCTTGCTCAGTTATAAATTATGAAGATGTTTATATACATAACAGTATAATAGTCTTGAAAACTAAGAGTTTGTGAAGAACGAATGAATACCAGAAAATATTACAGCACGATCAGTCACATAATCCAGCAATGATGTCATAGGATCAGTCACATGATCTGGGATTATGTCATAGGAATTCGGCAAACTCCAGCATGAGGTCGTCGTCAGTCTTGCTGTCCAGGAGTCTCTCGTCGTCTGAGGCCCCGCCCTCTCCCTCTTCCCCCACCTCCCCCAGCTCCTCCTCCCACCGGGCCAGCTCGCTGTCCAGCTGCTCGAGAGAGATCTTCTCTGACATCCCCCGACCCCTCAGCTCCGATTGGCTATATACACACAGAGAGAAATACAGAGAGAGAGGGGTTAAACTACATACAAAGAATGCCTGACACGGTATGGTAGAATGTAAGATTTTTGTGGCACGGACTCAAGTGAAAGATTGCTTTCTCCAAATTCTTACGATGTGGGAGCAATAAGCTTCCAAATCATTCCACAGAAATAGTTGCCCCGTTGTTCCCACACACACGCACACAAGCAAAACTTACATCTGTGCTTTCATTTCAGAAACACTCATTTTCCTATGTGAGGATTCCACATGTTCTTCCCTCCCTCCTTCCTGTTCTCCCTCATCATCTGCTGCAGTTGACGTCTTCATATCTTCAACTTCCGGCTTTTGAAGACTTCCAGTTTCTGCAACACTCTCAGCTACAGTGTTAGATGTTGTGGTCTGGTTTGGTAGCAATTGGCTCTCTGCAGTGGTCACTGCTAATTCTGATGATGTAATGGTGGGTGTGTCTGATGTGGGCGTGGCTTGTACAATAGACAGCGGAGTTCGAGACAGTTTTCTTCGTTTTGCGACTGGAGCTGTCAACTTCCCGGTCAACGATACCTCTTCACAAACATCTTTCTTGTCGCTACTCTCCTCCTCCTCCTCCCCACCCTCTCCCCTCCCATCCTCACAACCCTCACCACCTCCCATCACCTCTCTCTCTACACCCTCTTCCACGGGAACCGAAGATCGTTTTTTCACTCGAATGATTTTCTTATCTCTCGACCTCGCGTGAGACGTGGAACCCACTGACCCCACTTCTCCAACACTCTCTGAAGGAAGGACATTTTATACTTACACGTGTCTCTATGATGATGTACACGTAAAATGTCTCAAAAACACACCTTGATTCTTTTCATTGGTCTGTTGATCTTGTACTCTCATGACATCTGACTCAGTATTAGAGTCTGAAGGAGAGCAGAATATATTATGACAGTATTGTAGATATACACAAGGGCTAAATCTACTAACTAAACAGGGACCAGTGAAAGACTAACGTCCATTTTTCTGTAAAAGTTTCTAAATTTAGCCATTCGTACTGCCACAACTTCCCTCCCTTTCTATTCATGGCCACAAACACACACACCTCCATTCTTCTGACCACCACTAGCAGCAGTAATGGCAGCCTTTTCTCTGGCCTCTTGTCTCTTCATCTTCCCCGCTCTTATCTCCTCCAGACTCTTGACGTGGAAATCCGTGACTCCACCCACCGACTGGCCCCGCCCACCAATTGCCACACCCACTTTCAAACTGGTTCCGCCTGAACCAGAAACACAATTAATGACACCAATGGGACAGAAGCAAGGCGAGGTGTCCACATTTCAGGGGCTAAATTGCATGCAAGAACTGCTCTTGAAGAAAGAAAAGGTGTCCTTATTAGAGAGGTGTCCTTATTTCAGAGGTGTGTCCTTAGAGAGGGGTTCCACTGTACAATATGTGTATTGAACCTGCTAGATACATGTGGCGATGAGTGAGGTTCCAAACCTTGCTCTCCACCGGTGTTCAGTTTGATGGGAGAGCTGGCAGCTTTAGGCAGTGGCGGTGGACCGAGTCTAGCGAGGATCCCTGATGACGATGATGATGATGATGCTACTACAGTAGTAAGCTTCACCTATTATAGTAGGAGAGAGAGAGAATGGCTTTAACAAAGTGTGTATACACTGAACAATGAAAAATTCATTCAATTTTGTTTGTGCTTAGCAAGAGTTTTAGTCAAATAAGGTTGCTTGTGTCACATGCACAGGTACATACATACATACATACAGCGATAATAAATTATTTTCTACCTTTTTGGTTGCCGGGACTGGTTCAACTATCGCTGGTTGAAATTGGATGATCCTGGATTCCTTCTTGGCCTCCTCTCTCCCCTCTCCCTCTCCCTCCTCCTCATCGCCCCACGTAATGGCTGATATAGTGGCCTTCCTACCCCCTCCCTCTTCCCTCCCCTCCCTCTCCGCCAATTTTACTTCATTTTTCGTTTTCTTTGCCGCGGTCAGACTGAAAATTGGACTAAAAACAGACAACGGATTCTTTCGAGACGCGAAGAGATTTTTTGAAGATTCGGACACCGATGTGGTGACTCCGCCCACTTTCAGGGGTGGGGCTGGTTTCGCAGGTTGTTGAACTGCAAATGGCTTCGAAACGTGAGCGGAATTAGCTGCAATTGGTTGAGAAACGGCGTTCGGTTGAAGAAAACTTGTGCTTGCTGCGTTTCCGGTCGAAAGTTCGATTTGCGGCTTTTTCTTTCCACCAGTTAGCCCCGTCGTCTTCAGAACTGATGTTAGTTTGAACGACGTATGTGACGACGATGAGGTGGAGGGGGGAGGGTGTGAGGGTGTGTAGATGAGGTTATACGATTCACGAGCCCCGTGGGGAAAAGTGGGCGTGGTCACAGACGAAGCCAGCTGCTTCTCCTCTCGAATTTCTTCCAAAGTCTTCACCTTCAGACCTTCAAACTCTGCAGAAAGAGATGAAATGATTGATTTGCAGTCAACTTTCTAAAACAATATTGCGTACATTCAGAAAATGAAAAAATAAGCTGAAACACAGATGTTGAAATAAATAAACAGGTTTCATAACAAACTAAATACCAAGAAAAAGAGAAAACGAGGAGGGGGGGAGGGGGTGATAAAAGAGAAGAGACAATTTATGGAAACCTTTCTTCTTGAACTGGTCCAGTCTGTCCATGACAGTGGGGGGTTGTGGGCGTGGCTTGGTGTGGAGAAACGGACAGTGAGGTTTGAGACAGCCGACGGACTGAGATTCCCAGAAACAGGGGATGGCTCCTCGCTGGCGCTGGGGGAGGGAGGGGGAGAGAGGGAGGGAGAAGAAGGAGTTCAGATACAAAGAGTTTTACAGAGCAAACAACAGCAGTTCTGCCATGAGAGTGGCAACGTCTCTCAATAAAATGAGATCAGTCTGTAAAATTGTAGGCAGAGACACAGTTAGTACGCACTAGTTAGTACGCACTAGTTAGTACGCACAGTGCAGACCTGAATCAGTTTGCAGTGGAAATTTCGAAAACGGACCTTCCGAAAAAGGACATTTGGTTCTGCCACGTAGTACTAATACATTAGTGTGCTACACTACCTCACAGCAACCTAATATTCACGTGGTATGCAATTAGTGTGAGTAGACTGACCTCCGGGACAGAGTGTCTGAAGGCACAGATGAGTCTCCTGCAGCTCTGGTCTCTCAGCCACAGGTCACACACCTCCTCTGTGCCCAGGGCCGCCGAGCAGTGACGGAACTTACACTGGGCACCCTGCGATAGAGAGGGGAGGAGGGGGGCTTTAGTAAGAGTAATGAAGATACAGTACATTAAAAACTCAAGTGCTTATCTCTTCTATAATGAGGTGAAAAAAGACAGGGACTTGAGACATTGTGGGGAGCACACGATATACATTTGCACAAGCAAAACTTGAGACTAGGGAGAAAGTCAGTGAGTGGGGCAAATAAAGGAAGGAAAATCTTCCATACAGAACACAGTGTCTTGAACAGTCACGGAAAAAGAAGAGAGGGAGAGAGAAAGCAGTGAGAGACAAGCTAACCTTGGCACACGTGGAATAGTAGTAGAAATAGCAGTCCTGAGCCTCTGGGTTGATGTTGTCAGCTTTGCTCACCGAGAACCCCACCTTCTGGCCCCCTCCAAACAGACCCCCCGATTTCCCCGGACCCCCTGGCCCCCCTCCATTGGCCGGCCGAGACACACCCCTTCCAAATGCTTGCATCACAACCACAGTTTGTCTTTTTTTAAGCGTTTGTAGACTTTTTATTGTCAGAAAGGTTGAAAGTTTGATTTTTTTATTCGGTTTTTTTCTTTTTTATTTGGTGGATGCACAGAAAACGACGCCGCCAGTTGTGAAACAGTCAGTTCTCAGAATAATATTGAGAGGGAGAATATCCAAAAAAGGATTGGAGGAGGTCGGTAGTGTGTGTATGCGTATATATAAAGGAGAAAAAAGGCCATATAAAGCATTGTACACGCCTCGGCAAGGGATGCTTACGTCTCATAATCGTTATAGCTAGCTTATTCTGAACTCACCTAGACTACACAGCTGACAGCTTTGGTCGAGCAGTTGGCTCGATTCGCGCAGCCTTTTTGCCGTGTTTTTCCTAATGAACAGGTCGAAAGTTGAGCTTTTCAGAGACGCTTTTCGGCCGAGAGACGACACAACTCCTTTCTTTGTGGCGGTGAGACAAAAAACGAGACGGTGTGGCAAGGCACGTGATACCGTCGATGACGTAATTATTAGAGTGCTAACCGCACATATTTTTACCGAAAACCTAAAAATTATGCGCATAATTTTTTGCGGTGTGTAATGGCAGCGGCTCCAGCAGTTTTGGCCCCCAGCGGGCTTCCCCGCCGCTCTGCAGCCATGACGGAGAGCGAGAGAAGGCAGAAGTCTCTGGAGGACTACCGCAAGAGACTCATCGACCACAGGGAGCTGGACTCCAAGCTGAAGAAGAGTGAGCGAGCCCACGCGAGGAGCTATTCCAAATAGAGCACATCATCTCTATTCCCCCACTCACTATTCATGACTTCCCCTGTTTCACAATTTACTATGTGTCTTTCTTCTTCTTTGCGGTCACATTTTCTCTTTCGTTTCTTTCACCCCTGTTGTCTTACGTTTCTCTCATTTTCATTTCACATACATTTTGTATCTGAATAGCCATTTCTCTCTCTCTTGTCTGTGCGCAGTGCGGGAAGAGTTGAAAGAGATGACGAAGGAGTTTGACAAGTCGGAGGAGGATCTGAAGGCCCTCCAGAGCGGTGTCGGTCAGATTGTGGGCGAGGTACTCAGACAACTCACAGAGGACAAGTGTAAGTCACAGTGTTCTCTGTCGTGGCGGGATCTTGGTTGGCCTTTTGTTTTGTCCCAACAGTTATCGTGAAGGCATCAAACGGACCTCGATACGTCGTTGGCTGCAGAAGACAGGTATATATATGTATGTACGGGACGTCTCAACAACTTGGTAGCGAGGTAGAAAGGCAAGGCAAGGCACACAAGTCAACTACGTGCTCTTACAGTTTGCCTGGTCGATGGAAAAGAATTGCATGTGTCAACAACTTGGTAGTGAGGTAGAAAGGCGAGGCAAACAAGTCCACTACATGTACATGTATGTATGTATGTATACAATTGTTAGTGCACTAAGATGTAACCTATTCAAATGAGACTGCTAATTAATGGCTAAAAACAGTGTAGTCATTTTCCATAATGCATATAGCTCTTTGTACAACATGTATATATATTATATATTCCAGCACCAGTGTGTGTATATGTACCCTTCAACGACCTTTTCTGAAACTCCAAAACCTGTACATACATGTCTACTGCAGACAAGTGATTGTCTCTCTGTCCCACTGTAGATTGACAAGAGGAAGTTGAAGCAGGGATCTCGAGTGGCTCTGGACATGACGACGCTGACCATCATGAGGCAGCTGCCGCGCGAGGTGGACCCCCTCGTTCACAACATGAGAACCGAGGACCCCGGTGACATCAGCTACTCCTCTGTGGGGGGTCTCGGAGAACAGATACGAGAACTACGAGAGGTCAGCGAGAGGTCAACTAGTGGGTGTGGTCAGCTAAATTTAGAACACGATTTGTGTTATTTTTGGAATTAGTACGGTTTTGTTCTATGAGTGTTTTGGTGTATTTTTAATGTGGGTGTGATTTGCACGTCTGCTAAGATTTTTTATGGATGTTACTAAGTATGGATGTGGGTGTGGTCTTGTTGCCTAGGTGATTGAGCTGCCCCTGATGAACCCTGAACTCTTCATGAGGGTGGGAATCAATCCTCCCAAGGGTTGTCTTCTCTACGGACCTCCAGGTCTGTGTCTTTATACTCACTTTTGAAATGACGCAATTTGAACAAAGTTACTGTTAGTTACATATTCTCTGTAGCAGCTGTTTTTCCAATTAAAGCCTGCTTTATTGAAACCACTGAGTAAGGGATTCCTTGGGAACATTGAAAGTTTGCTTTTATCAGAGGAGTCCTTTACTTGGAAGCAGAACCAAGTGTCTCTATTGAGAGAGTTGACTTTTAGTTGAAGTGTCCTTTTTCATAATTCTCACTTTATAAGTCTCAGTAATCACTGTGTGGTTGTTGTTGTTGTGTGTTCATTCAGGGACGGGGAAGACTCTGCTGGCTCGAGCAGTAGCCAGCCAGTTGGATGCCAACTTCCTCAAGGTCGTGTCCAGTGCCATAGTTGACAAGTACATTGGAGAGAGTGCAAGACTCATCAGAGAAATGTTTGGTGAGGCTAGCTTTTGATGTGTCTTAATTTTTTCCTTTCCCACCTTATAGAGGCACATGTTCCACGTGCTCAAACTAATCGCTCACGCTTTCACTTGGAAAAAGGAAATGAAAGAGAGAGAGTCTTTAAAAGGATTCACAACCTTCACATAAAAAACCAGTCTATACCCTTATGCACCTAAAATCTGCACTTTACTTCTGGTTTCTACAGATCACGCCATTTCCTTTCTCTTTCTTTGTACGAAATTTCCGCGCTAACACTTTTAATTCTCTCCGGCCCACGCCAGAAAGAACCAACCCTTGCATTATTCTTCATCTTGTTCTTTCAGTCGCACCATTTTTGCCCTCACTTTCTTCCCACGATATTTACCGACATTGACTCTCTCCCAGCCTATGCCAGAGATCACCAACCCTGCATCATATTCATGGATGAGATAGACGCAATTGGGGGCCGACGGTTCTCGGAGGGGACCTCGGCCGACAGAGAGATCCAGCGAACCCTGATGGAGCTGCTGAACCAGATGGACGGGTTTGACCGATTGGGGCAGGTCAAGTTCATCATGGCGACCAACAGACCAGACGTTCTTGACCCCGCCCTCCTCAGACCCGGCAGACTGGACAGGAAGATTGGTGGGCGGAGTTTTAGTGTCATTAGAGAAACATGGGCTTTCTTTACTTACTACTGTTTTTCTGAGCAGATCTCACTTTATTATTATATCTCCTCCCTCTCTCTCCTTTTCTCTTTAACACGCCGAGAACTTTGACCTTCAGACATACAAAATTGCACTATTACATTGCTTTGCACAGAGCTGCACTGTTCTTTCTCCTGTTGTAAAATGTGTCCCTGCCTCAAGCAAAGTCGAGCCATTGTACGTGTAATGTCCGTATCTCTTGTGTAGAGATTCCGTTGCCGAGTGAACAGGCGAGACTCGACATTCTCAAGATACACGCGGCTCCCATCACAAAACACGGAGATATCGGTGAGTGAGTGATGTAATGATTACGTAATTGCCACGACGTAATTGTGATGTCATTGTGCGTCTAGGAATACGAGGTGTGGTGAAGGGTCGCGAGATTTAAACGGAGCCGATTGGACAGCAGCACTGAAAAGCAGGTTAGGAGAGGTTTAGTCCCTATTTTAAAAAAAT